CGCAAACTCAACCCCAACCCCAACCTCAGTTCAACATGCAACAAAACCAGGGAAACCACCAGCAGGGCCCGCCGCAACAGCAGCACAATCAACAACACAACCAGCAGATGCCGCCTTCACTTCCGCAGCAGCAACAAATGCAGCAAGGACAGCAACAAGCTCGACCTCCGCCAGGGCCTCACTCGCAGACGATGCCTCCGAACCAGATGCCGCAATTTGCGCAAGGACAGCAGCAGCAGAACTTTCACCAGCAGCAACAGCAGCAGCGACCTCAGATCAACCCCATGCAGGCGAACGCGCACCAGCAGAGCAACTCACCACACCCGCAATCCGCCGCCTCCAACGCGCCCGGCCCACCAATCCCTCTCTCCCACAGCGCCGCCGTCAGCGCCGCGAACCGCTCCTACACCGACCCGCAACGCACAAACACACCTATGCAGCAAGGCGGACAAGGCGGCAACTTTGGTAGTCGCGAGCGCGAGCAGCTCAACAACCCTAAGATGCCTATCCCACGCCATCTCAATGTAACCTCACCACAAGCCGTTCACATGGGCCAGTCCCGACCTACTATGAGTGGTCCCACCAATGGCGCGCCAGGACCCATGGGCCAACCCGTCATCCCACGCCCACCACCATTCCAACTCGAAGGCGAAGGCGATCGGGTGCTCAGCAAGCGGAAGCTAGACGAGCTCGTGAGACAGGTAACCGGTGGCTCAGAAGAGGCCCTAACACCAGAAGTCGAAGAGGTAAGTCCCCTCCCCATCTACCAAAACCAACTATATCTAACCACTCCGCAGGCCGTCCTCCAACTCGCCGACGACTTCGTCGACAACGTCATCAGCAACGCGTGCAAGCTTAGCAAGCTTCGCGACTCGCCCCAGCTCGACATTCGCGATATCCAAGTTATACTCGAGCGCAATTACAACATTCGTATTCCAGGATACGCGTCTGATGAGGTTAGGACGGTGAGAAAGATTGTGCCTGCGCAGGGCTGGGCGAACAAGATGAGTGCGGTTAATGCGGCGAAGGTTATGGGTGGGAAGGCGGACTTTTAGAGTGGGTCTAAGAAGAATGAGGGGGAGGAGAAGGAAGCGTCAACCCATTCTCATTCTGTTACTGCAGAGAGCTAAAATGAAGGAGGAGGAGAACAGACTCCCGCATAGGAAGAGGTGGGGGATGTATTAGTGGAGGAGAAAGACCGTCATCATCATCCCATTACTACAAAAGTCTCACCCACAGTCTTAATACACCAAACCCCCATCTTCGACCCAACTACCCAACTACCCGAGCAACCATGCCCTCATGCCGATACCACTACCATATGACTATCGTAACATGAGCAAGTCTCTCATGGAAGATTGGGTTGTTTTCATTACGCAGTCAAGGTAGCAGGCATGAGACCTGGAGACATGAGGGGACATGCACTGTGAAGACTCAGGAGATCAGAGTGAAGTTCGTATCAGAGTTCCGATGTAATACTGGATGCCAGGTGATCTCAGCGTGGAGCTCACTGTCTCTTGTTCATGCGAGCCGTTGGGGGGTGGCTGCATCATATAGGTCAGCTTCTACGACGCGCATGTGCAAGAATTGCTTAGGCATCACTTGGCTCTGCAGACAGTGCATCGGCACGCCTAATTCTCCGGTGAAGTTTGACTTCCTAGCTGGGTCACCGAGATGCCGAGCGTGGGTGCCGAGGCCGCGTGTTCGTGCCGATTCGACGTGTAGGGCGCATGGGATACGGGGGCTTACTTTGCGTCTGGTTTAGCTGGTGAGGTCGATGACTAACTAGGTAATCGGGATGGCCAAGCTTGCCTGCGGTTTATGTTTGTTCGGTGGGATGTCGGGGAATTGTGGGATTGTGGTCAGTGTATGGGAGTGAGGATTTCCAGTGTTCAGGTCATGAGAATACGCGTTGATGCTTGGGTAGCAATCGTTTGGAGGATTACCTCCGGTGAAACATGCGTCAACACATGGAAAGTCTCCGAGCGACTGACTGTCTAGGGTCTTCGAGATGCTGCTACTGCACACTGATGAGAGAGACCTCGCGATGATGCCCAGGTGTACGGTGAAGCAGCCACACTAGCATCGCTTGCAGTACACACTGCATGTAGTGAAGTAACATGAAGTAGGAACAGTCAGCATACCGAAAGCCATAGTCTCAGTTCACTGGCCAGATAGGGAGAAGTACTGATGCTTCTTGGAGTGATCGAGGCTTCTGGCGTGGGAGGAGTCTATTTCGGTCCTAGTGGCTTGGCGCTCTGTGTTGCTCTTGCATTCCAGTCTGCCTTTCCGTCTCTACTGTACACAAGACGCATACGCGGTCTGACGACATATGTAACACACTCGGCGGGAACGACTACGACCACTCATAGCAGACTCACTATACAATTGTCTGCGTCGCGCCCCGGACTCATATAAAATCTAACCAATCATCTCCACCTTCCATTCCATCTAGCCTGATCAGGTTCCATGTCGCGAACACGTGGGGTGACGAGCGTCTTCTTCAGCCATCCGTCCACCGCCAGATCAGGGTGCCGAACAATAACCCCTGTGGACCTAAGCCTCGCCTGCAGCCACGGTATGGAACTCCCCCGAGACGCCTAACGGAGGCAGGCAGTCTGCATACATCATACACAGCATCGTTCGGCAGCCATATGGCCACAGACGTACGTTGACAGCAAAAGTCTCAGCTCAAGCTTCTCAAAATCCTGTTGATTTCTCCGTCTCATCTTTGCGTCATTCATTTCGCTTGTTGTTTATCCTTGGAAGGTGCATTATTGTGGAAGTATGGTTGGTGTTCCGAAAAGCACTGGGTGCCTCATCTGCCGCAAGAGGAAGATTAGTAAGTCGTCTGTGGCCCTCTTCCTTGCGGATAACGCCTGACTAAGGACAGAGTGCGGTAAGGCTAGCTCCACCAGAACGCCCCGACTCAACCATTCTGACTAGTGACGACCAAGACGAAAGTTGGCCTACCTGTTTAAACTGCCAGAAGAATGGAAAGCAATGTCCAGGAGCCCCCGCGCGACACACGTTCAGAGATCTCGGGCATAGGCTGAGTGGAGGCGCCACACATTCCTCTGTAGAAGAAACTGCATCACCAGGTAAGCTGGTATTCAGTGCACACGACTATGATACTGAGTTCGTCACAGATCCGGACAGACAATTAACGCAATTGAATGAGAAGTTTGCCGACAATGGGTCCGTCACCCACAAATTCAGGATTTCGAACAAAAGTTCAACACCGCGGAAGCGATCCCCACGATCAAGTTCGATCAGCCTATCTCCACCAAAATCGCCCTTTCTGAGACAACCATCGCCATCACAGCATCAACAACTCGCACGCTCCTTGATCGCAGCTACCACAACAGGCAGTACTGGGCATCGCATGTCGGTGTTTGGTCGGTTTATCCAAGAAGTACCAGCTAGAATCGGACACAATGCTGCCCTTGACGCAGCAGTTACAGTACTGGTGAATGTCCATACCTCGCTGGTATACAAGAAGACTGCCGACGAGATCGTCTCGCCAGAGCTTTATATCCGGGCTATCAAAACGCTCCAGGGATGCCTCGAAAGCCAGCAATTAGGCATGTCGCCCAATACTCTCTGCGCATCAATACTTCTTGGTCTTGTAGAAGTAAGTCTTGCCTGGTTGAGCTTGCACCCATACTTACATGCCCAGGCTTTCGCAGGTCCAAGAACAGGCAACCGGTACTTGACGCATGTGGGCGGCGCCGGACGATTAATGGAATTACAAGGGCCTTCTAGATACACGGATAATTTCACGAAAGAAATGCTACGCTTCAATAGAGGCGGTATAGTAAGTCAATCACACTCACGACGATGTGATCGGGTCTATTGACTCATGCATACACGAGAAAGCCAGGTCACAGCTAATGTATCGATAGATTATTACATGCATATACGAACGGAAGCCATGCTTTCTTGCGTCGCCTGAATGGCGAGAGATCGCTTTCGACAAGACTGGACTAAGTTTCGACGACTGTCTGAACACCGACTTGATGCAATACATGGCAGAGTTGCCTGGTATCTTCAACACGCTGAAAGAGTTGGACGAAACTTGCATCCTGCAACCGCCCCACACTACGAGCTTTGATTTCAGCTCCAACGGCGATCTACATAAACCATCGATCGACACGCCACCATCACTTGACTTCTCCAACGACTCTTTCGACGATATCGACTTTTTAGAAGACATACGGCCAGTCAAAACATCATACCCAATCAGCTCAAATCCATACACATCTCAATACGAATCTGTACGGACAGCACTTCTGTACAAGGTATATGAACTCAAAGACGCACTCCGCAGTCTAGGCGAACACATGAACACGAAGCTCACAAACGGCATCGCTGTCTCCGAAACACCGGCAAAAGAAAAGAGCAGTCCCATACAAACGACCTACCACTTCAACAACTGGCGCGACATGACCGCCTACAACTGCTTCTGGTCCGTTATCATCCTAACAAACAAAGTCCTAATGCGCCTCCTCCCACCCTTCGACCAAGCGCGTTATGGACTTCAATCAGAATGCCGCTGCGCCGCCGTCGAAATCTGTAAAACATGGGAGGACGCTTGGGCCAGCAGACCGATCGGCGCGTTCCACACTGGCTTGAGCTTTGTTGTGGCATACGAATTTTGCATACCTGAAGTCCAATCGTGGATAGTGAAGAGTTTGAACTCTCTGCTGGATTACCATCAGGTCGATGCGTTTCGTTGGTCGGACGAGGTTATTGTTAGTATGGCGGAGAAACTTGCAGGCGAGGGGCCGGCGGTTGCGTTCTCGAATGTTAGGGTTGAGGGGGAGGGGCGGTGAATGAATGGTATTACTGTCAAAGGTTACATGCATTCAGACCACGGATCTCTCAGACTTGTATTCCATTACTGATACCAATAGATAAACGAGCTCGAAAGACATACGAGTGGAGAACTTCAAATGTCGCCTACGCCTCCTCTTTACTCTGTGCGCTTCGTTCGCCACTCAGCTTTGCGTCACCGCAGCACCAGTGCCTTGCGCCACAACCGCCGTCGGGCTCTGTTGACTGACGAACACAACCAGTACAGCTGCATATGCCGCCGTTGCTGCGATGACGTCTTTCCTTTGCGCCGTTGTCAGGAAGCCTAGCCATCCTGCGAAAGCCACAACAAAGCCAGTGACCGTCCCCAATTTGGCTACCATGTGGTCATCTAGTCGCCATAGGACCCACATCGCAGATACAAGGAAGCCAATTGAGATGATCGTGCCCACGAAAGTAACGAATTTCTGCATCTTTTGTTCGTTGACGTACTTCGCTTCTTTGCTTGACCCGGGGGTCTGTGAATGTCAGAGACTGTTCAAGAGAAGGGAAGAACAGGAACGAGAATGATGATGTTGTGTCGACATACCAAGAAGAGGGGGTATAGAAATTTGTCGACAAATCTTGACAGGTAATCGTTTTCCGCAGGCGTGTACAGGCTGACAAGGTCGGTGAACGTCATTCTGTTTTCATCCCCCTCCATTCGATACTTCAGCTGATGACCCAGCCAGGGCTTTTCGTGGTCGTGGAATTTATCGGTGGAGATGAACCGATCAATTGCCTCGACTGTCCGGTCTGCGGGGGCCTCGAGATGCAGCACCTTACTATAAGCGGCCAAAAGTTTGTCTAAACCCTTCGTTAGCAAATCATTCCTATCGTTCGAATATGGAGGAACCTCGTACAATATTCAAGAACCTTTCCACCCAACTCCTCGCTAAACCATGTATCTCCCAAACGCTCTACGTCTAATTCACTCTCCACGCACCGATCATGTCGTTTTTCAAAGGTTCTTAGTTCTCTGCTCAGCGTAATGAGCCGATAAATTGCGAGCTTGTCGTATCTTCGGAACACTGCAGCGGACTTGCTGGAGTTTTGGGCGAGGTAATCGGCAATCAGAAAGGGACCCTCTCGCAACAAGTGTCTTTGGTATCCGCTATTCATATCTTCCGTGGTCGGAATAGCCGTGTTTCGCGTATCGCTAATGCCATAAGAAGGTTGTACTGATGCTAACCCCGATGCTATCCCTGATGCTATACCTAACGCTTGTATCGGATCCATGGGCTGTCCGGGGGTGTTCTGTCGATCCGGGAGACCCATCAAGAAAGGTGCGAGGACCAAGGTCAGAAGGTTGAAAAGGCTTGTTCGCAACTCTCAGTCAAAGGCGCTTGGTAGTCTTATCACTTCAGCCTCGAAGGTGTCGTCGTCTGTTTTGCCCAGATCCGGTTAACTTTGATTTTCAGCTCTGGAAGCCGGGCCTGGTTTGTGACCAGTGAGCGTCCGCGGAGGTCAGCCACATCAGCCTCCGCAAATGATTCAGGTCTAGATTCAGTTGCAAAACAACCTTTTCAATGCATACTATAGGAGCGTGGCGCAATAGTTATCGCAGGTTGAGTGTTCGTCTTCGCTCGGGAAATTCGCCCACTTCGATCTCTTCTCCATTTTCTACGACAACATAAACCACCGAACACTTTACAACAGAAACCGATTGTTTGAACAATACTCAAGGGGCTGCATTATTCGTTTCTCAAATCCTATTCCATTGCGCGGATTCACAATCCACACAACGCTCGAAACCTACTGTTATTACACCTTACGATGGCCGCACCACTGGGGGCCTCCTTCAATACACCAGGAAGACAGTCAACATCTGACGCATATGGCAGCGACGATTTTTTCCGTCGATCTCCAGGAGGACAGCATAATGAGAGACCGCACCCAAATCACGGAAAGGAAAAGATGATGAAGTGGCTCAAATTTTGGGAAAGAGATAGTAAGAAGAAGAATGGGAGAGGTTGACGGGCGTGAATTACAAAGGCTACTACACTTCATACAAGAAGAAAGCTAAACAGGTATGTAGATGATATTGAGACATAAATATGTAAAGTAGGTAACCTAACGTTAGTATAGGCTCAAGGATGTTTACTTCCTTCCTAAGGTAACGGCAGTACCTGTTGTTTTCCATGTGCAATTGCATGGGAGAGATGGAATTAAAGGCCACGGGGGAATTGGTGGTTAGACGATCGGTCACTCGCCGGTGCCAGTCACTCGCCGGTTAGGTACGCTGTACGCTATTCCCCTAAAGCTACATGTGTTTTCTCTTTCTTATCAACACCCAGCCACAGTAGATCAGGTCGACTGTAATGGCCACAAACGTCCAAGAAACCTTTTGCCTTCAAAATATCATCAAGCTGCAATTCTGCGTAAATGAACCCCTCTTCTGTCTCTGGTGGACCATCAGCCACCAGGCGCCCATCCGGGCCAAAGATAGCTGAGCTACCCCCACCAGGGGCATTCATGGTGACGCCGGAGGCTGTTCGGAGTGTAGCGATGCCTGCTTCGCTCATTACCGCTGTAGTATGCAGAACAAAGGATTGCGACTCCATGGCGTAAACTTGAGAGAGGCTGCGGCAACCTGGTTACCAAGTACGTTAGCTAAGGGTTATTCTGGTCGTATACAATATGGTGTCGCACCTTCTTTGCTCATGGAGTACAAGCCTGGACCGCCATCGTGAGCGTACAGCGGCGGCCACGCAGCAACATGTATGGTTTCTCTCTGGTGGTAAGTGTGGTATTTGAGTAGTGGTTGCGTGTGCTCCCAGCAAGCTAGGGCACCGACGCGTCCCACGCCCGGCAGCTCCACGACATTCTGGAGAGAAGAGCCCGATGCGTCTCCAAATATCGTCCTCTCCATGTGCGTCGCTTTCAGCTTCCGACGCAGGACTTCAATACTGCCCTCGGCATTGATGATAGCTTGGGAGATGTAAAGCGAGCCTTTGAAGTTCTCGCTGAACCCAAGCACAACGGCGATGTGGTGGTCTGCAGCACTCTGACAGATGCGACGCATCTCGGTTGAGTCTGCTTGCAGAGAATTCTTCATGTAAGCTGTCGAGAGCTCAAAGTCTATGGGCCTTGACCTGGTACCACATATCAGTATACCTTGGACATCGACAAAGGACTACTGTGTTCGTGAACGTACCATATCCAGGCAGGGTAGCCTGGGATCCAACACTCGGGGAACGACACAAGTTTTGCGCCATTCTCTGCTGCCTCACGGATCAAACGGCAGGTCTTCTCGACAGCCTTTGGTAAGTCAAGCCATGCTGGCTCGAACTGAGCGACAGCAACGCGAACAGTGGATGATGGTTGATGCGACATGACGTGGACAGTGTGTTGAGCGTAGAAAAGTAAAAGGTATCTGATCACGTTGTATTTCAAAGAGGGTATTGATTGCGGAAACACAAAGGACCGTACAGATCACTATGGCATTAGCAACAAAATGACTGCCGCCATAAGATAAGGGGCACGAAGATACAGAGGTCCACTAATCTTATACAGCAACACGAAAGGCGGGGCTCCTAACTGCCAGCAGCGGAACCTTTCCGCTAAATACATGTAGGTAGCCAAGACACGTCCAATCAGGGGTGTCGGCGAGCTTCGAAGCCGACATATCTCTACATCGGCAACCTTATCTTCCAAGGTTTGATGTCGGGGTTTCTCTGTCGATAGACGGTTATTCTGATGCTAACAGATGTATAATGCGACCGAAACAATGCTAAGCCGCGGACATGTGGCTCTGTGAGTACCTAGGTACCTTGGTAATATCCGTGTGCGAACTATTGTGCGACCTTCACTGACTTCATACATTAATCTTCAAGCAACTGCCCCTCTTGCTCAGGTAATGAGTATCACATATACCTGGGTAGTTCCCGAATACACTACACTGCTCTTCCCGCTTTTTTCCTGTATTCGTCGACTCTTGTCGAAAAATCTTAATGCCGCTCTTCATTTTTGAGCCTGCCTACGGTATGTCGGCACCCACCCTCAGCATCTCAGTAACCCATCTAAGTAATCAGTGTAGCTATCAGGTCCAGGCGTCATTCAGGAGCATGCGCGACGCCGCAGGTGCCTATGGCCCTGACAGATGCTCGCAGTATTCAGGCAGCGATACAGACACAGTTTTCGACACAGCTCTCAACGCCTCGCTACCCGATTTTACAGCTTCTTCCCTATTCGCGTTTACAAGGCTGTCTGATTTATCGCAATATTCGCTTCAACGTTAGGGAATCTTCTGATCCGTTAATCATCCCTAGCATATCTTTGATTGCTCATAAAGATATGCAGCCTGTCCAGGTGGTCTTCGAACCGTGTAGCTTTGCGCCCATCTAGCGAAGTTCGCATACATTTCAGCAAATCCGGAACCGGGTCTTTTGATGAGGAAGAACATGGATGAAGCAGCGAACGCTGCAATTCTGGGAGAGCCCCGCAGTGCAGCTATGGTGTTTGAAAATATCGTTGACCTCCATCGATACCACCAGTGCGAAGCGGAGTGAACATGGAGAAGGATTCCGAATACTCCCACAGGAAGGGTGAGTGGTCTTTGGTCAGATTCTGGTCCGAAGTATCACAGCCTGCAGACGTACATCGATCTGATGGAGAAGGATGATGTCTTTGAGATTCCGACCGAGGAAGGGGCAGCTCAGTAGTAGACCTGCTTCAACCCGCTAGTGCCCATCGCTCCAAGTACCACATTCTCTCTAAATCATTACTACCTTCTCTGTCAGGCTACTCGTAGTTCGCCGAGGTCGTAGGATATATCATGCCACCTGGGCACCCAGCAGCGGCCCGCCCGCGGGTGACAGCCCAACTAGGTAGGAATTTGGACACGAACGAGCAGTATGTCTTACTTATATCTGACTTGCATGCGGCTACCGGCGATGCGTCATCAAATCTACGCTTACTGTGGGGGCGAAAGACTACCTAGCTCTCACATCGTGGTCCAGATGCTGACCCGTTTCTCCACGTGTGAACCGGCCCATCGGTACAGGCAAGCCACGGCGGCTATTATACAAGACATCAGTCTTTTGACTTCTATCGGTGTCGGTTAAGTCGTGGTTCCAGTGCCAAGGAGGGCCAACGCACTCATGGCCCTGATGGAACACCCTTGCTTGCCCCGGGCGCCTTACACATCAACTTGGCTATGTCGGCGAGGTCCCCACTACCAGGGCGGGGTGACGGCCCGCAACACGGTCTCGTAATCTAGATGCACGATCAATGCAAGATCTGACCAGGACGGAAAGAAGCAAGATGAAGTTGTTTGGTATGCAGAAAACACGAAGCTTTTTATTGTTGTTCTTTTCTGTCATATCTCGGTATGCATGCATCATGACATCATGTTTAACATCGAAACCAAGAAAACCAAGACCACAGCATGCAAACGCAAGGGCAAAGCGAATGCGAAAACATTATCCCCACTGAAACAACAGAAGAAGCCAAAAGCGTGGAAGAAAGAAAAAGAAACAAAGCCGTTGCAACCGTCTGCGCCACGCGCGCTACTGCCGCAGCAGCAGCAGCAATAGTAGCCGGCACGGCACAGCCCTAGTCTCCACCAACATCAACTTCGACTGGAAGCCTTACATCTGGATATTGCACTTCTTCTTGCACTCCGCGGATCCGATAATAGCTCCAGTGCCCACTTCAGGGATCATTTCACCGATGCTGGCGGGGTTGAACGATGCGTCGCCGAAGCCAGCGCTGATGACATCTTGAGGGACGGACCAGAGGCTGGGCAGGATGTTGAGGGTACCGCTGTCGTCGCTGTTGAGGGCGCTGAGGAGGAGGGCGGGTTCGCAGTCTGTTGGTGGGGTTAGTGAGATGTGTATACGGGAGAAAGTGTAATCAAGTTCCGGGTAAAATGCAAGGGTTGATTCTTGGATCTTGAGGCTGAGAGCCGCATCCCCGATCAGGTAATAGATAGACGGGAATGTAGAAGGGATGTGGAAGAAGACGTACCATTGTTCTGCATCATATGCAGACTTCCTTGTGGGAAGATAGTAACACGCATGGGGATCATATCCACCTTGCGTGTCTTAACACCATTCTCGCCAATCATGTAAGTCGTCGTGTTACCCGTGATGGCAGTGACCAAGTTGGTAGCCCTAGGGTGCAGATGCGGTGGCAGCATGCCGCAGGGAGCTAGCTTGAGAAGAGCCATGCTGGAGCCGAGGCCAGTGAGAGCAGGGAAGCTAGCAGCATTGGCGTTGATGACAGCGCCGGTGGGCGAGTCGTAGTTGGAGCTGGAGTCGAAGTCAAAGTACCAGTCTTCATCGGCGGGGAGGAGAGCATTGCGGTCAAAGTTTGTGGCGGCCATGCGAAGGGCGGCGTTTAGTTCGGGGTTGACGGTGGAGGATTTGGCGTCCGCTGCGGTGATGAGGGTAGGGAGGAGGGAGGCGAAGAGGAAGATGGCCTTGGTGAACATGATGATGGTGGTGGGGGTTGGTGGGGTTTGGAGGGAAGGTCTGAAGTGTAGAGTATGGGAGGAGTGAGTGCTTGAGATGTCGAGATGTTGAGACGATGGGTATATGCTTTTATATACCGACAATCGAACAACAGGACGTGATGTTGGCAAGTGGGGCTGATAGATCTGGGACACTGCAAGGCAATCGATCGTATCGGCAAGGGTAGAGAGACGGAATAAGGCGTGCTGACTTTGGGGCTGAGTTGCGTTGATGGGTAAATTGTAGTAAGCAAGTTGTGGAGTTTGTCGACTTCGATGCCGTCTATCCAAGTCATGCATGCAGACTTATATAGATCAGGCGGCCGCATGGAAGGCTGGGACTCGCTGCAGTGGAGAAGGCGAAGGGCCAGGGCGTGTTCGGTAGACTGGACTGCTGACCGCTCTGTCTTGCTCATCGTCGTAGGCTTTCAAGCCACTGTTACTCTTGCCCGGTGGAGGCGTCGCTAGGAAGGTTGATCGGTCATTGGAGCGTTCCTGACTATGGAGCGCCATTCCCTTCCAGCTTGTGTCGTGACCAGCTGTCAAAATGTCCTCGTTTGAGCCGAAAATGTTTGTTGACGGCACTGTTGCTTCCGACGGGCGGAGCTGGTGATTGCTGCATATAACGCATCGTGAAGATTATGTGAGAAGCGGTCCGACCCCGGGTGTTGCTGCTTCTGTGAGGTACCTAGGTACATAGGTACATCTCACTTGCCTGCAAACCCGGTTTACGGATCGATGCTCGAGATTCGCACCATGTGTGCGGCCGCATTGGACCAGGGACCGGGGTCAACATAGCGCGTGGCGTAGCTTAACTAGATGGGGGTGTGATAGATTGCTATGCTGAGTTCTCCGACTGTTACTGGCAAGTTGCAGCTTCTGTGCGAACTCGCTTGTAACAAGAAGTGGTCGTAGGCGTGTGATTGAGAAGCTTCATCACCTGCTCTTTGTTGATAGGACCTTTACTTGGGAAGGCATAACGATTCAGTGTAACTAAATGGAGCTTGTGCGCGTTTTCTGGGGGTCGTAGGCGTGCTGTTGGGGATGAGTGGGTCCAGGGTGGTGCTGCATATCAGTCGATGGTCGTAGGCCTTGTGCAGCCCAACAGCATTCGAGCTACCGTGAAGCGGAAAAATACGTTGAACTCTGACAGGCGCCTTACATGGCTGCGTCAGGCGCCCCTTGGGTACAGACTGGCTAAAAACGCCACAGTTCTACTGAACGAGGCGGAGCTTAGTCAAGATTGTTGGTGGAGGAACGTCGATATTCTTAGTGACACCGTCGCACTGGAAGATTGCGCCATTGGTCGTTCAAACGCTAAGTTTCGACCAACGGCGATACAGATGTGCGTGTAATTGTGGAAGAAACACAACGCGCCAGTCACGTTGTGGCCTCGTTGCATTAGCTTTGCCCTCTTGGGCGGCTAGGCTTTGGTGTGCAGGGATTGGTTAGCCCGACGCGAGTTTGAGAAAAAGATGCCCGCATCGTTGCGCAGTATCTTGTGTATCTTGCTGTGCAGCTTTGAGCGCATTGGAGAAATGACTTACCACGAAGAGAGATGTTTTGGTAGTATCACAATCGCAATGGTACTTCCTCCAGGTCAGGATTGGCCGCAGAGCAAGCGCAGCAAAGGCGTAACTCTAGATTGATCGTAACACGGAATGGTTTGGCCTTTGTTTATCTAGCTCAGTCTCATGTAGATGACTTGAGGAGTTAGGAACCGAACAGGATAGTTCGTGAATAGGTAGAACGATTGTACGCTGTCCCAGACGCTCCAAGCATCTCCGGTCTTTGGAAGTGATGGTATTCTAGTATAGATCTCGGGGTTTGAGGTTCACAAATCCATGTCGTCCCTTATTGGCCATTCAGTTCCTTCAATAAGAGCCACACCGGTGACAGCAACTATCACTGCTTCGTAGCAGTGCCATCGGGATCAGCGTGATCAGTTTTATCTGAGCGCATGAGATAGGCCATTACACCCCAGATGCCTCTCATCGCTTCAGTACGGTCATCAACGTTGAACAAATCGAACCACTTTGTTCTTTGCAGTTTTGGGGAAAACCAGTCGGAGTCTGTTGGCGCTTCTTTGGGCAGTCTACCTTCGGTGATGTACTCAAGATAAGCCGGATGTATGCGTAGCTTTAACAGGCTGATGTGGTGGTTCAATGACGAAACCATGAAGACCTAGATTGTCGGATTAGCGGAATGAGCTTCCTAGAGCTGTAGTACGAAGCCCTACATCGTCCCACTCAACACTCTGGTCTTTGCCGATGGCCTTGTAGGTCACTTTTGGATCCCACAGTGGGTTTCCTGGTCGCAACGTTTTCCAAATCTCTGCTGGTGACGGCCTGCGGCGAGCCTTGGATCCGTCACGATTCCTGTCGGTGGGTTTTGCTTCAGGTTTGGACGCTGCATCTTTGGACAGTATTTCGATCGCCCCGGTTGTTTCGCCAACCTCGCCCCCGGGTCCTCCACCCCACCGCTCTTTTGTTGTCCACCATCTATCCTCGCCACCTCTTCGTTCAGCTTTCCCCTCTCTAGCTCTTTCTTGTGCCAGCAACAACAACCCACCTAACTCGCGCACAGCATCAAGATTAGATTGCTTCTTCAGGTCTCCCGTCAGTCCGAAGCCAACGTCTGCCCTGCATTGTACCCCCAATACCGGACCTTCCATATAGCCATGCCTGGCTTTAGCCCTATCCTGAGGTGCTTGCCAAGCGACAGAGCTCATGCGAACAGGGAATCTAATGTGCTCGATTGTGAGGACGGGAGGACGGCGGTGTGGTGAAAGTGTCACACCAAAAGCCCATGCAATCGGCTCTATGAAAGCACGCACGCAATCAATGCGGTACTGATCAGGCATCTCGGCACCACTTCCGATACGATAGCCTCGGTAAGAACCGTTTGAGAGATCAACTACCTTGTTTTGAGACTCCATATTCACAGCCCAAGGGGCCTTGGGTGGTGCAGCCCGAGCTGGTAATATGCGGTTTGGAGTATTTGACGGGACACGTGCACTCACTGGTGCGGCGCTGGAGCCATTGGCGCCCTGGACCTCGGCTGGTCGCTGCCCACTTTCAGCATCTTCAACCTTGGCCTTCTTGCGAGGTTCCTCTTCTTCAGGCGTACGAGACCCTGGCCTCGCTGTGGATATTCGATTCGAATCAGTTTCACGTTTGGCGTCCTGACTTTGGGCATCTGCAGACTCTTGCGGGGAGCTTGAACCCACTGCCTCTCCGCTAACATTGCCAGCTTCTTGCACTGGTGGGAGATATTCGTCTAGTGAGGTATCCCAGTAATAAGCTAGATTGTCAAGCCCCTCCCAGAACTTTCGGAAATGCGCTAGTCGAAGCTGTGGTTGATCTCCAACACTCTTGCGCGTGAGTGTTGAGTAAGCATCAGCGTTCTTGCAGAACAGTTCTCTTGCTCGGACATAGAACTCTCTCTGATCTGGTACCCTTCTGCCATTGCTCAAGAGTGTGGCCGGGGTATCAGGACTGGTTGCGGCGTCGTTCTCTCCCGGTAATTCCAACCAGGAGGTTGGAGGCAGGAACGACTTTGCGTCGTTTGGCAAGGATGACAATAATGTTTCCAAGTCACATTGGGGCTGAAACGTGACATTCAACAAGGCCAAGGTCTCTTCACTCACATCAGACGGCTTCTTGAGTCGCAAAAAGTGCTCTGATATCCTTGCTCCTGGTTGGGTCCAGGTGGCTGGCAGCGTGTTTATTGACGGCTCGGGCGGCTCAAGGGAAGGAAACTTGACGGGTGTCGGTTTCGAAGGTGGCGACCTCTGTTTCTGTGTATCATGCTGCCCCGCAAGTAGGTTGCCTATGAACAAGTTGTCCTATATCAGCAACAATATTGCACGTGCGCCGCACGTCTCAGACGAAACATGTGTGGAATATATACCCACTTGACTGACAGAAGCATGCCAAGTAGCTACCACAACAAGCAGCTTAACCCTAGAAGAAAGAAAACATGTATGCGGATTTGGAAGGCCATTTCAGATGTCATCGTGAACCAAGCTTGGGGATGATGTTATTGGCGTAAACTCCCGAGGTCCACTTGGAGCGGGCGGACAAGACCTCTGCGCAAGACGAAGAGACGACAGCGATCGATGAAGAACAATCAGATGAGAGTGACACTTACCGCTGAAGCTGAACATTGTCACAGGGTCGTGGTACGAGGACCGTGATGCTTAGGGGCGTGATGGAATCGGCGATGGAATGTCGACGTCGAGCGAGGGCCGCGGATCTTCAAACCGGACGTGCGCACCCAACGCAACAACGTCTCCACACCCACCAGCGACTCTCTGCTAGAGCTTCGCACGAGCATGCGATATTGATGCATTATACCAAACTTCATGAAAACTAGATATGAGTATTGTGACAGCGCCTCTCCGCAAGCCACGCGCGGCGTAGCCACCTAAACTCTAAGAGCACGTTCATGCATTACCCCGAAGGCGACTGTCAAGTGGTGCCACTGAGGCCAAATGAATCATGGGATGACAAGGCAGACTAGGAAGATGCCTCTCAGCGATTTGGAAGGTGCGAGAGGTCGAATAGAAGTATTTTCCATCTTCGAGTTGCTTTTGGTGTTCAGTCACGTGCTGAGGACGCCTGCCCGCCAGGTGCGCAACACCACCTGGGCAGCACCAGCCTCCATCACTGCACTCCATCCAACCCCATCGCGCATCGTCACATATGTCATCGCGTCCGCAAGAATGGCTGCCAGAGTGCTTTGTCGGGCGGCACGGCACTCGGCTGAGACGGCCAGGCCGGTGCCGCTCAAGTGTGCGAGGCTCAGCGCGCTTCATGTGCATTGTTCGAAGCGCGATGTGAAGCCGCCCGCGTTTCAGACGGATACAAGCGCACCGTACTGTGCCAACGGTTGACTACCACCCGGCCGTTTGTCGAACGCCTACTAACACCTCTCTTCGTTAACCATTCATTCAGCATCACGTAGCGGTAAACTCCAATTTCCCAGTTTAATATGCACAAAGCGTCCGCGGCGCCTTGTATCCTTCCTCTTCGTCTCTCTTTCTGAGCCCTTGTTGGCGTTTCTTTCCATGAGCTACTGCTCGCATGGCCACCCCTCAAGAGTCCATTACGACGGTAAACGGGAGACGATGTACTCGTTCTCGGGCCCGAACGGCCCTTACAACCTCGACGACTCCAGCAACATCCGCAGCCGCCGCCCCTCCTCAAGTCACTTCGTCCACGACCGTTGAGGAGGCCCCGAAGATAGAAACCAGCACCAGCCAAGCACCTCCTCCGCCACCTCCTCCCTCTTCGACGGCACCGGCACCAGCCCCGACTACGTCTGCCCAACAGACAGCACAGCAGCCCTCCGCAGTGCCTACAACATCTACGACGGAAGCAGCAGCAACGTCCGCGATAGGTACGAGTAGCCCGGCCCCTACATCTTCGGAGCGGGTGACACCGCTGGCTCTCGCATCTTCAGCCCGTGCAACGGCAGCTGCTCAGAAGCAGCCAGAAACTCAGGCGGCACCGGAAGTGTCTTCTGCGGCCGCTGCTGTTCCTCTGGCTGTGTCTTCGCAAGCTGCTGTGGCTTCACAGGATGCTGTGGCGGTGTCTTCAGCTCCGCCTCCGCCTCCAAGTCCCATACCAACAAGTTCTGACACAGAACAAATAGCTGTTCCAACGTCACTCGTTGCATCTTCGCGCGCACCGGCTCGCTTCACAGCTCCGGCGATATCCGAAGGTGCCACATCGGATGCGAGCCCTCCGCTGGCGATAGAAACCGACACGAATGCACAACCGTCTGTGACAGAAGCGCCTGCTATCGCAGAACCACAGCCCACTACTTCGCTAGTAGACTCCACGCCGACCGGAGGATCGGCTGGCATAATCGCACCGGAACAAGGGAACTCTAGCGACAACAGCCCGTTGACCTTTGCGAACGGTGGAAACATAGGAGGCATAATAGGGGGCGTCTTTGGTGGTGTGGCTGCGTTAGCCTTGATTAGCGTATTGCTCTTCTTCTGCTTGCGGAAACGGAAGTCGCGACCAGTACGATGGAACGAGAAGCAAGAGACAGGCCCAAGCTTCCTGACCAGGTTGAAGACGATACCTAATGGGGTAGGAGCATTCGTTGCGAGAATCAAAGGAAGACAATCCGGCCCGATCAGCAATCCCTACCAACGCCATGCTGCGCAAACCAGCGTTGGTTCCGTGTATTCGAGGGACTCTAATGGCAGAGGTCGATCGACCAGCGAGCCGCAGGGATTCCTCGGCGTCAAGCGCGCGGGCTCCAGCAACAGCATGTCAAGCAAGAAGAGCGAGAGGAATCTGCTCCGGAAGAAGCCGAGCAGCATTTCATCAAATTACCGATTTCCAGGGATCGTCGAAGACACAGGTTCGCCAAATCCCTTTGCCGACCCGAAAAGTACGCTGTTGGTACTCAACCCGGATCCTCGAAGCGCGCCCGTCACACCGCAGGTCCCTGTTGCTGCTGCCGACACGGAACCCAGAGATCCTTTCGCATCGATCCAGGATCCACCTGGAGCTACACCAGCTTGGGCTCAAGTACCGACTCATCATCATACACGTACTATAAGTTCAGTATCAGCCCTGAGCTCACATCCCGTGTCCTCATTCTACACGGCCGATAACCCGTTCCGAGATCCACCTTATGCGCCACCTGCTCCCAGTCAGGCTGTTCTACCAAGCCATACCCGTCGTTCATCAATGGCGTTACCTGGCTTCAACGCGCTATCGACCGTGGATGCAACCTCCACGTTCGCCTCTCGCGACTCTGACATGTTCTTTGGAGAACCAGGACCGAGCAGGCCCGCCACCAACTTCTTCACCCCGATGCCAACTGGTCGTACCGTCCGACAATCCGATCCTTTCGACCTCGATCGACCTGAAGTTCTTGGCTTTACAAGCGTCTTCAACATCAACAGGAAAGAAGTGGCCGGAAACATCACGCGGCAACCTACACGAAGTAAACGAACAAGTAGCGTCGGCAATTGGGGCAACGCGGCGCCAGACGCCAATAACTATGGCTTGTTTCCGAGAGACAGTACAAAGCCACCACCATGGGGACCGAACGGCAGGAAATGACGATGATGACAAAATGTCACAACGGAGGACCTCTTTCGCGCACAGGACGCGTAAAGACATAATGAGCAACAACACGGACGGCGTCCCACGATCTTTTCTCTCGATGGCAGGAAGTATTCCGCGGGCTCCATCGCTTCTTTTTCTCTTTTATACTCACACATTCCTCCCACATCTTACCACGCACTGAGCGAGCAAACCGAACCCCCATATTTTCTGTAACATATATCCCCCACTACAGATTTTCTTGTAGTTGTCGTAGCGTAGCATAGCGTAAAATATACCCCTCAATGAATACCATTACGTATACCAGTATTGAGTCTGCTAAGCAAAGTAAAGGATTAGTGATTGGTGCATTGATTAGTATACAAAGTGATGTACGAGGTCGTACGATGTTGGAGACGGGTGGCGGTTGCCAAGGTGGGTTCGTCGCGTCAGCCTGAGGCAAGGGCGTAGGACGCTAGGTATAAGGTTTGACTTGTGAGTGACAGAAGCCTGATCGGATGCGGGAAATACTTTGGCCGCGAATGCGAGCGGTTCGGATTATGGCATTCAAGTAAGGAAGGCATGTTGACATGAAAGACTGGGATGGGCAGTTGCGCTTTCTTGATGTGGCTGACCCCGCTTAGGCAGCTATCGGCACCTTCCTCCCCTCCCTCCCCTTCCTCCCCTTCCTCCCCTTCCTCTCAACAACAAATGCACCTCGTCCGAACTACGACGCACCTTTCCGTAACAACATACCTGCCATCGACTGATGTAGCCGCATGTTGAACTCCTTGACAATTCAGGATCGATCGTCACTTCCGGCAGGCCTTTACTATGCTGTGCGATGTCTGTCTGGATATCTTCAGAGGCTCATTTTCTACGGGATACACTGAGCACCATGGCTCGGTCCAAAGCTTGCAGCGCTCCGTTCTCGAGAAATGTGAACTCTGTCGCATTTTCTGGGATGAGATCCCGAGCATGTCAGCATCAGGTTATGAGGACATTCAGGTTTCAACGAAATACAAATTGAGTGCTTACAGAGATACAAGCGCCAAGTTACTGGAGTTCACAGCTGCTTTGTCCCCTTACACGCGCGACTGGAACTTTTTTTGCGAGCCCACAAATGGTACGCGCATTTCGACATAGTAGAGCAGTACGTGCTGACATTAGAAACGGGGAACGGCGGAATTTCCGACAATGAGAAACCATACGACTATTCAGACTGGAATGCCAGTATGACGTGTGCGAAAACTTGGATAGCCGAGTGCATGGAAAACCACAGCGAATGTCCAGCATTTCGCTCGAACGGGCACACAGTCAGCGAAACACCACATTCTGTAGTCCAGCCCGCTCCATATCTCCCAACGCGTCTCCTCGAACTCGGCTCCCCAGAAGCTGGTAAGGTACGCCTTCGGCTGTCCTCTGAGCTAGACAGCACTGCTTCACACTATGCAACACTTAGCCATTGTTGGGGAAAATCCAAAACACTTAGGTTGACATCGAAATCATTCCAACGCTTCAGGGATGGCATGGCAGTCACTGACTTGGCAAAGACATTTCAGAATGCTATATTCACTGCGCAATCTCTTGGCATGAAGCTGTTATGGATAAACTCATTCTGCATCTTCCAAGACTCCAAAGAAGATTGGGCACAAGAGGCTGGTCTCATGAGCCAGGTGTATCGCAACAGCTTCCTCAACATTGCTGCCAGTATAGCCGTCGATAGCGATGCCGGCTTCTTCCGCGAAAGAGCTTCGACTGTTGAACCTTACGTCGTTCAGACTACATGGACGGACCACTCGAACGGCACCTACTACTTTTACAACGATGCCTATTGGTATGAGAATTTTGAACGTATGCCTCTAAATTCACGCGCATGGGTCTTTCAGGAAACTGTGTTAGCTCCCAGAATCCTTCATTTCTGCGGTACTCAGATGTTCTGGGAGTGTCACGGGTTGAAAGCATGTGAGACATGGCCGACCGGCATGCCAAGCTACATGGAAATACAGCATTCGCTGAAGTCCACGGGGTACCCTGCAGGTATCGAAATCTTTGGCTCAAGGTCCACTAATGGCATCGAGCCTCTACGTATATCCACGGACAAGAGCGCTACGCTGAACATGAGTTCGTTCCGGACTCTATGGAGAAAGGTTACAGCGGAATATAGTCTATGCAACCTGACCTTCCCCAGCGACAAGTTGATTGCACTGTCGGGAGTCGCAAAGCATATGGAGCAGCTTCTCGAGATAGAGTACTGTGCAGGCCTTTGGGGTCATGACATTGTTCAAGGACTGGCCTGGTATGCTCCCAAGAAGAGTGAAAACGATTACATATTCCAAACGGAAGCAGATCCTATCCACTACCGGGCACCTTCATGGTCATGGGCATGTACGGATCGTCACATATGGTGGAATGGATACTTCCGGGCGGAAGGCCAATGCTTGGTTGACGTCGTCCGTTGGGAAGTTCAGTCTGCGACAGGAGACCGAACAGGTGCCGTCACCGACGCTACTATGCAGCTATGCGGTTATCTGACCACGATGGAGCTGCACCCAACTTTCGGACTCGAGAAAAACTTCGACATTCACTGCGATGGGAAATGGAAAAGCATGAGTAGTTATAAGTTTCACTTTGATCGCCGGCCATCCTCGTTTCAGTTGCATTGCATGCCGCTCTTCATCGACTGTCTCGGGTACTTGTGTGCTCTTCTACTTGTACCTACGCGAGACACACGCGGCCAGTTTCGAAGGGTGGGTATTTTCCGCACGCCATTCGGTGTGAAGGAACCTGTGGACTGGAACCAGCTTGATAGCTTCCAGAACGAGTCGTGGTTGGAGTACGAATCGATCGATGATGAGGGGAAATACACGATTACGATCATATAGATACGACCTCCATTCTGCGATATGAGACTGCCGACGACATGGTCTCTTTCATTCTCCGCTATGAACTTTTCATCACCTCCTAGAGGCTACATACATAGTATTGGGTAAAGGAAATCTTCGCAAAGATTCATGATTGGAATACAGGAAATAAAGCAGGCACTATGCAACTGTAACTCAACCGATTATATCCATACAACCTCCATTTTAGTCTCATTAATTGACATCGCAAAAGACGTACGCATGACTCTGCGTGACCGCCCATAACCAGTAGGACGCTTTCATCCGACGAGACCAAGGTATGAAGGAGGTAGTGAAAGTAGCACCGCAGCTCTCTTTCGAATTCATGTAGCTTGATCACTATCGAGCCGTACCATCGCACGTTTTCTCGTGCTTCTTGGTGTCTTCTTCGCCCACTTTCGACCTCGCGGAACATCTTTGACCTCTTGCTGTGTTTTGGAACAAGCAACGAGAAGAGTTGTGAGGAAGAAGAGAGGCGGCGACATAGGATGAGTGTTCTTCCATTTTAGTAGAGAAGAAGAAGACAGGCGAGGACATCGATACTCTGTTTTGATGTTTTTGGTCGCACAATGCGAGAGTTGTAGATAGGAAGGAAGAACCCGACAAAGAGGAGAAAGATTTAAATACCCCAGAATCGCCGGATGCGTCACATGTCTATAGCAGACTCGCCGCCAGAGCTCATCTTTTCATTTTGCTTAACTTTCGGTCATAGGGCGGTGGTGAAGTTGAAGTAGTCGCTCTAGTTGTAGCGCTTTCTGATGGCAGCCAAGCTGAACAGCTTTTTTAGGTGAGTCGACAGTGGATTCGTCATGTCAGAACGAACGGGGCTATGTTTTTGGAGAACGAGGAGGTTAGAAAACATAACGTTGCTTTGCTCTTTGTTTTGGCAAGAGCTGCGCTTTGATATTGAAGTAAGGAAGAATGGAACCAAGAGCACCGGAGACAGGTCTAATACGCAGCACTTCTGCTCTTACAGCCATGTCTAAGCATAGTAGGCTTCTAGTTTATATAATATCATCGTATATGTTTCGAAGTGCGTACGGCTCGTGCCACTAATCGAGGAACGCATCGGGCCAAGATGCCAAATCTTTTGTTTCTGGCGACGCCGAAGAGCCATAAGTTGCTCATCCTGTGGTTTTGAGACATGTACGTTTCTTTCTGTATTTTGTAGATGATCAACTCGCCAAATCATGAAATGTGGTATCTTGTATTTTAGTGCAACGAAGTACAAGAGCTGGGAGAAGAGAGAGAAAGCATCTGGAGGCCTGGTGCCTATTTCGGAGCACTTTTGGGAGTGTTCAAGGTTCATAAAAGCCCCATAGCGTAAACTTTTAGTCTTGCCAGGCAGATGACATAAAGATGGCTGAGCAGTCTTCTTTCTCGCAGAAATCATGCAAACCGACTAAGTAGATTTTGGAAGCGGAACCCCAACACATGAACCAATATAGGTTTTTGTTTGATAATCATGGGCCTCGCGTGAATATGAGGAAGAAGCAGAATGGGCAGCCAAAAGAAGCGAAATATACTCCAAGGCAATGGAGTTTTGTCACTCCGTGCTCTGCAGCATACGAAAGATAAGGTGGAAATTTGAAGTAGATCGATGGGAAGCATGTCCACGTCTAGGAGCGTTTTGAACACATGCGACCGACAATTCCGCTTTTGACGGAACGAGCTCGCACAAAATATCAGCTCTTGCATCCTTGATTTTGGTATGCAAAGCAGCACGGTGGTGTTGAAGGAAACAAGCAATTGGGTAGACTCAATTGCGGTTTAAATATCGTGCTAGCGGCTGCGGAGCCTCAACATGCGCATGATGACGTTGTGGATGAGTTTGAAGCTCCGTCGGTACCCATGATGTTGCTGAGAGATAAGTACTGGTCTCAAGTACCATGTGTCGGTGTATTCTTCGAGAGAAACCACGAGAAAAGGCCATAGCTTGTCTCTTAGGTACAATTTTGTAGTTTCGCAGTCACTATGGATTGGAATCAGGAGTGTGAAGGAAACAGCTTTCACAACTTCCAAATCTTTCGATCGTCGCACGCAGACAGCATGAATGTCTTGCCCAGCTTGTTTTCTTCTCGACGCGACGACAGACATGAACTGTGGTACAGCTGTTTTCTGGTATCGATGTACTGGTTTCAATACCATGATTTTGATACTCGTTTAAGCCAGGAGATGAAGCGGATATGTTTCCTGCTGCTTCACATGGGGTTGATGCCGCAAGTTTTGGGAAAGAGAGCACAGAAGATCATTGTGGAGCTCTGCCTCGATTTCAGTGTGTACGACTGAAGGGTTGGTAATGAGGAAGAAGAGAGAAGCATCCGTAGGGGTAGCTTTTATATATCTTTGCCTAGCGGCACTTTCTCCACTCGCCGAAGCCATGTGCGTTGTTTGTGTACATTTCGAGGAAGTATATCCAGTGCTTCAGTCGATTTTCACAACATGTGGACATGGCGAGTGGTTTTGAGCTGCCAGCCATGACACGGTAATTCCATCTTTTAGATTCGAGCACACAGTGGGACATAACCGTGTCGTAGTACGTCTTGGAGAGAAAGCACATATCCTTATCATCGGTGTTTTTCTAGTGCAGGCGAGAAGGTCATCGGATTGTCATCTCCGACTTTTGGAGAACATCGTGTGGAAAGGTAATGTAGAAGTCAGAAAGGCCGGCGCTCGTGGAGCTTATATACTATTCTCCGTCGAGAGACTAAAGAGAGCATGTATCTTGCTATTAGTTCTAGTTATGTTCAACTAAAAGAGAAGAATTAATCTAACAATACAATACAGAGTCTCTAACACCTGCAAAGCAGCCTAGCACAGGTTATAACTTTTACAAAGCAACCTTTTGCTAGTAATACTTTTATTTTTAGACCTTTAATAGTTTATTATAGCCTATAGTAGTTATAGTTATTATTATAATATACTACTTTTTATCTATACTATATTAAGATTTTTATTAATACTACTATCTTTATTAACTATATATAGTTAGTAGCTAGATTAGAGCTACGTGCAGCTAATTATTATTAGAGTAGCTTAATTTTAGACTTTTTTCTATATTACTCTTTACTAAAAACATTAGTAACTAATAGTATAGCTTTATAATAATGTAGACGCGCTACTACGCTAGCTATTATATAGACTTTTAAACTTATTACTAGTTAGCTATTATCTTTAATTTAGTGTTGTAACTATAAGTTATACTTTTTAGAGAATAAATTTATACTTAGTTATATTAGCGCTCTATTCTAGCTATATAAGAGCTATAAAGTAGTATATATTTTTATATAATTGCGTAGACCTTTTTACTAATAAATATAGACTAATAGTTATAGAGCGTGCACTACTTAAAGATAGTTCTCTAATTCTATTTTATAAGATAAGCTATCTTGCTAGCGCTACTATACTAATTTACCTAATATATTAGTTATATTATTACTCTATAAGCGCACGCTATCTCTAACTAGAAGTAATTATAGTAATAATATTAATAATTTACTATCTAAAAATGTTCTTGTAGGTCTTCTATAGAGAGATAAACTTATTTTACTAATTAGTTTTAACTATAATAATCTAGAGCTATAGAGTTTTAAATATAATTTCTGCTATATACTCTACTAGATAGATAAAAAGAAGTTAAATTTATTTATAGTAGAACTATAGTTTAGTTCTTATTATAAAAATAAGCGCGTTTTACTTCTATTATTCTATATACTACTAAACTACCTATACTAGCTATTATAATAGAATAATCTAGAGGTAAAGAACTTCTATAAAGACTTACGCGTATATAATACTATATTTACGTTTATATTCTTAGACTATAAACAAACTAATAGAGGTATTATAGCTTTAGGTATATAGGTTTTTACTATCTATAGAGCGCTATATTATTATTCTAGTTCTCTTAACGTATTAGCTAATTTACTACTAACGTACGCGTAACTATATTTTTTTAATTTTTAGTATATAGCTGCTAGGCGCTAAAAGTATAATCTAGATTTAAGAATTAAAGTATTCTAGAGTATCTTAAATATATTATATAAGATCAATAATCTATATATTTTTATTTATAAGACTGCTAGAAGCTATTTACGTAAAGTAGTTAATAACTAATAAGTTATATTAACTTTAGGTCTTAAGGTTTAGCTAGTAGAAAGTATAGATTACTATTGCAAGAATATACAGCGCGCTAATAAGGTTAGACTAGTTCTTCTAGATACTATAGCTAGTAAAATAGTTTATTTAGTAGTGCTTATAGCCT